TCAACCACTTTAGGAGCTACTGTCATTATGATCTTTTGATCCCATCAAAAGGTCCGATTTCATAATCGGAACACTAAAATTAATATGTAGCGGTATGAAAATAAGCAAAAATGTTTGAATTAATGTAATGTTACACGTAATTATGCACATTGCACTGCACGTCTTCATATTTAAATGTCACATCTGTTTCGCGCTATTTGCGAGCAAATCTTATCAATTCACGAATTCATATTCTAAGAAAGAAGGGTTAAGATTGCAGTTTCAAACTTTACTTTTCTGAAACGGATAATTTGGATAAACTTATAAAAGTTAGGAAATAATGATTTAATGCAGTAACACTGAAGACGCAACTTTTATTACTGGCAGGCCCTTTTGTTTATTACGAAATGCAAAGCTGTATGACAATTGTATGACTGCTCTCGCTGGCGATAACAACGATGATTATTTACTGTAATATTGTGATAATATAGTTGGTGATTTAAAACTACTGTAAACGGTGTGTATAAATTATTTCAATTGTGTAATGTGAATTCATTTTTTTTATCATTTAACGGAATACTAAATCAGGTCGGGGAATACAATTGTGCTAATGTTGGATTTCTATAAATATTGGTGAACAAGTTAAAGGGGTGTTCTTTGCAATCGATCAATATTTATATATATTGTATATACTCCTCTTTCTCTCGTCAAGTTTCAATTATTTCAATTATTTTACTCGATATCATAAAATATCGAGTTTTGAGCAACACTATAAATTTTTACAAACTTTTCATTTCGTTGGCCACTAAACCTCGATATTCTGCCGTAACACATCTCTGAATAATTATTAAAACTTTCTTTTTAGTTTATACATATTTATTACCTCTGCAATACAAAACTTCAAACATGCGCACAGGAGGACTTTTTCGCAGGAATACTGTTGTTACCCCTAAACGCGATGAAGATTTTGGGGATTACGCGACTGTTATTAGCTCGGAGGTATTGAACGTTGTAGAATTTATCTTTTAATTATCCGCTATTTTTTTTTTTTATATGTCCTAATTATTATACCTTCTTGATACTATAAAAAAAAAGGATGATCCAAAAAGACTTAAGGAATATATCACCAGGCTTTACAAATCTCTAAAGGAAAAGGTACGTGACGTCGATAATTTTTATGTTGTGTTCTCATTGTAAAATTATGCCCCTGCGTAAACTACAACTATTTTTGGATAAATTATCGGATCTAAAATACTTTTTTCCTTCAATAGGGTAAAAGTCTTAAGTCTGCTTATGCAAAACTCGATTCGTTGAATAATGAAATCAGTCAAGAGAAGACGAGGTTAGTTGACATAGAAGATGAAAACAAGTCACTTCGAGGTATGCATTATTATTATTTAATACATAATATATTAATAGTTTATTATAAAATTAATTTTTATTTTTTTTTGTGAATATTTTTATGCAGATCAAATGCAAGGAATGGCTGATCAATTAGCGTCCAAAGAGGAAGAGTTTAAACAGTGGCAAGCAAAAGTGCGAAGATTTTCTTAACCGGTCAACGAATTGCAGAATCAATCAATGAATTCAATCTATTTTTTTATTCTTTAGTTGGTTGAACAGACACAAAGAGAACGCGATGTGCTAATTGAAGAAATGGATGAAGAGCGTGCGCAGTTTAAAGAACGAATCAATCAACTTGAAGATGCTTTAAATCTCGCTAACGTAGAAATTACAAGATTAACTATCGAGATGACTGATCTAACTAATTCTCAAAAAATGAGACGATTGTCAACAACTAGTACGACAGATAAGAATAGGTCTTCCTTGGATATACTATTTAATGGCAATGTTTGTTTCCGATTTAAACTTTCTCAATTTTTTAATCCTGTATGTACTAAACTGTATTTTTAAATTTACTAGAATAATAAAGAGGATGATCGATACGAACTTACTAAACAAATCCTAGAGATCACACAACGAAGGATAAGTTTGCAGACTGAACTCACAATATTAGAGGACAAATATGATGATTTAAAGGTAAATAGGATACTAAATATCAAAGATCACATACGAAGTTCTTATGTGGGTACTTTATTTTTTATTTACATTATGTAATCTATTTTGAAAATTGAAATTAAAAAAGATTCAATCCAATCAACTCTCGAAGGAGAACCAACTACTTCGGCAAGAAAATGACTCCTTCAGGCAACAATTCGGAAAGAAAATGTTTATGAGATCTCTAGAAGATGTCAATCTAAACGAATGAAGTTACATGATTTTAGGTTGTGTGAGGCTTTTCTTGCTTGTCAAGAAATTTATTCTTTTTTTTTTTTTTTGACTTGTGATTATATGCGGGTCATTGAAGAGTTTCACAGAAATATTCCAGCCACAAACTATAAATTTTAGCTTAAATCTAAATTTCGATTTTTTCTCTGTTTTGATACAAATTAAAGAACATACCATAGTTCATTTATTATTAGTAGCTATTCTATAATATTAACGTAGGCTTGAGCGAAGTAAATGGATATTGATTCGTTTCCGTTTAATCTGAAAGTTTTACATAGCTCATCTTTTGTACTCTGTAAATAGTCAAACTTATCGTAATTTGGATTGATTGTAGTAGGGCGATTATTTTACGGGTATTGTGCTGGTTAATTCTCATTGAAAATAAATTAAATTTTAATTTACCGAAGGAATTACCTTTAACAATATTAATTTTTGTTACATAATGCAAGTACTATACTATAAATACATTATTTAAATTTACGTTTTTAAAATAATTCTGTTAGTAGATGCATCAATATTGGTAAGAAATCATTTGTTAACTGGGTTTAGTTATATTTTTTTTTTAATATTGTAAGACTTAGGGATCCATTTGCATTAAAACATATAATTGCATTTTACTAAAACAGGTACATACTGTAAGTTACATTAAAATTCAATGTATATCTTCTCTAGTTGAATTTAGGATATGCAACCCCTGTTTAGATTTTTTTCTTTCTTTATGGTAGTACTGAATATAAATGCTATATATACTTATAATCATAGTCTAGGTATTTTTAAGAATATCAGCGCAGTAGCATGATGATTCGGATACAATATTATAACGATAAGATATTCCGAAATACATCACACTAAATCCATGAATGACTAAACTCTATTTTTGAAATCTCGATGAACTTTGATTGTGCAATCAATTTCGTTTACGTATTCATCAGAATGGATAAATGAATTGACATTCACTTTGCATGATGGTTAACATATAAAGGAATTGTATGAATTGGCGTGGGTATCGTTTCTTTCATTTTTAACATATTCGGAAAATCAAATGTCGCACGAAGAGTGGCGTCAAAAAAATATATTTCCATAAACAATATTGATATTTGTCACTTCGTGTAATGAGTCTATGTGATATGTCAATGCATTTCACAATGTTAGAGTACATGCCCTGTATACGTAATGGTGGGTTCATTTACAAACTCTTACGTAGCAAAATAATTAGGTACGTACGTATGTAGTCGCTCTGAAGGAATAAGGATGAAGTTTTTAATCAATGGAGATACGAATTACTAACTTTAGATATAAGATTATTAATTGTTCTTCATAATCCTGAATTAATTTATTTAATCGCAGTCTAAAGATGTACTGCAGATTCGAGTACGTATGCTCGCTAATTCTTTACCAATAATTTATGGATTTAAATATATAAGTTACTAAATGTGCATTCTTTACACTGATGTTCTAAATTTTCATTATTTGAATAGTATTGTTATGTAATCGATTTCAATACTTGTTTAAAACATGATTAGCGAGTTCTTGGCGATGCTGTTTCATATGAAAACTTTATGGTCATACCGATACGTTGTACTACATTCTTAGTAATAATCAAGATGTGTAATAAGTTTTTTTTTTTTAGAAAACCTAGATCATTATTAATAAATTTGAATCTATCAATTTTATAAAAAGCTTTATTTAATTGCTGTCGTAGCAAAACTTTTACTAAATAATTTGATACAAGATAAAAATAAGTGTTGCCAAGGGATTATTTATCTGATTTAGCCCCTCTGATCGATAATACATCGGGCTTTAAAATTATATGACATTCCGATCTTGGCCGCTGAGGTGAACGTCATATAATTTTAAAGCCCGATCAGAAGGGCTGAATCAGATAAATAATCAATAAAACCGAAGTTTTATTTTTCTTAGCAGCACTCAAATATAAATATATTAAACTTTTAAAATATTGTATACAAGATTTTTGACAATATGTATATATTTAAGTTTTTTTTTGTTTTGTAAAAATTTAATTTAACTAGTAGATAATAAGTAATTTAAAAAACATTTTTTTTTATAGTTTTTATTTATTTATTTATTTATTTATTAATATGTTAAATATAGAAAATAAATAGTTATATGATAAATATCAAGTTGATATTAAATTTTAGCTATTATTAGAATTTCTATATAGCACTATATAGTGTAATATATTATTTTTAATTTTTTATTTATAAACTAGTTTAAGTTAAGTTAAAACAAAGCTATTACTAGTTAAAAAAGAAGAAGAAAGAGAACCTAATTTTTTATAGTTAAAATAATTTATATTGCTAAAGAATTTTTATTAATTTGTTATATAGTATTATATATAGATAGTATTTTATTAATTAATATTTTTTTTTTCTTATTAAGGTGGCTTACATTGCCGAAGGAATTTTATTAGAATTGTATACAGGATATCCCTACTGTTTGTAATTACATGAAGAGTGTACAACAAGCTACACGTACAACTTTAGTCATTGTCTAATTTAAGTA